GTTGCAGAAACTGGGGAAGAGGGCCTCGCGGTTCATGGCCTTGAGGAGAGCGGGGGCCAAGCTGGGCAAGATCTTCCGCACTGGAGGTCTGGCCTCTGTCCTGCACGGTGCGCGAGTGCGAGGCGTGCCCACCAGGGAGCTGCAGCAGGCGCGGACCGCTAACGCCCGCGCCATCGGCGGCGAGGCAGGGCGGAAGTCGCGGACGCTGCAGTTCGCGATTCAGGAGGGCGACGGCTGGAGGAGGGACCCCTTCTACGCGGCCACAGCGCTCCCGTTGTTGTCATGGTCGAAGGCTGTCTTTCAGGGGGCCAGGAGGCCGGCCGTCTTCGTGACCACCCACGCCAGGACGACTCCGGCTTCCTGGGGTGAGGTCCGCGGGCCGACGGCGGCGGTGAAGTTGACGCTCGAGAGGATCGGGTGGCAGTTCACGGCGTGGGATACGTGGACCACCGACACGGGGCAGCAGCTGAACTTACAGGAGTTCAGCCCCAAGTTCGTGGCGGCGCAGATCGAGGCCGGCACGACGCGGGCACTGATGAAGAGGGTGACGGAGCACCGAGGCTTCGAGGCGCTGCAGTCGCGCCCGCCCTCGCTGGAGCCGCTGCGAGCGGGGCTTCAGGCGCTGCGCCGGAGAGGAGACGAGGAGATGGTGTTCCTGGTCGAGTCGTTGGTGACGGGCGGCACCGTGTCGCAGTACGACCTGTACGTGGAGCGGGCCGAGCTGGACCCGAGGTGCCAGTGGTGCCACGCCGCCTTGGGCACCACCCACCACAGGCTGTTCTGCTGCGATGCGACCTGCGCGCTGGCAAGGGACGCTGGCCTCGCCAGGGTTCGTGCCGCTGGGCGAGCGGCGCCGCCGGACGACCTGGGCATGCTGCGAGGGCTGGTCGACCTGATGCTCGACGAGGCGGCGTGGCCTGCCAAGGTCGAGTGCTGTCTCAGAGCCAGAGTCGCGCTCAAGCAGCTGTGGATTGGCATCGTATGCGTCGACGGGTCCGTCACTTGCCCGAGGTGCCCGCAGCTCGCGAGGGCTGGTTGGTCAGCAGTGTCGGTGACGGCAGACGGGCGCCTCCAGGGAGGTATGTACGGGTGCGTGCCAGGAGAGTTCCAGGAGATAGGCTACGCCGAGCTGTACGCGGTGGTCAGGGTCTTGCGGGAGAAAGGGCTCGGGCATCTCACCATCGTGAGCGACTGCAAGGGCGTAGTCGACGATTACTTGCGGGGGGAAGCTTATTGCACCTCGCACCTAAGTAAATACGCAGATCTGTGGCGCGAGTTTTGGTTCCACGTGAACGATGCTGGGCACGACATGGTCTCCCTGGTCTGGGTCAAGGCGCATGCCTCGTGGCGCGTGGCCGAGCTGCTGGGGGCGAGTTGGTGCCACCACATCGGGAACAAAGAGGCGGACAGGCTGGCCAAACTTGGAGCCCGTCTTCACCCGCAAGATCGGCTTCGAGAGTGTGAGGCCAGATTTGCCGCGGCCCACGAAGCGGCCGCCGACCTCCTGCTCCACCATGGCGTGGTGCTGAAAGAGCTCGCGGGCTTGGGCTGGCCCGACAGGGGTCCTCTCCCTGGCCGTCGCGGGGCCCCAAAGGGGATTCAGCTGGAGTTTGAGAGGTCCTCAAACGGGCACACTTTAGAGCGTCTGGGTAGGGCCTGGGGTTGCCTCCGGTGTGGGATTCGCAAGGCCTCCAGGGCCAGAGTGGTTTCGCTCCCATGCGTTGGGGTCCCGAGGCCAGCTGCCCTGGCGCATGATTCCCATCGGCTCTGGGTCGTTCTGCGTCGTCGGGGCCTGGGGGGGAGTCCGTCGTCGTCGGGGGGGTACCAGACCGAAGGGAGTCAGGACGCCATCGTGTTCTGTAACGTCTGCGGGGCGTACGCCCGACGGCAGACGCATTTGTTGCGCGACGAGTGTAAGCCAGCGAATCGTCTTGCCAGGAAGGCGTTGGATAAGCTCCGTGCAGGGCGAGAGCCTCAGTCTGATGTCTACTGGGGCCTTCCCTTCCCGTTAATTCGGCGTCAGCGGTTGGCCAATGTTTGATATGTTTGAACAGGTTAAACTGCTGTGCCCAAATTTTCGGCCTCGTGGATCCGTGTTTAACGTGTTTAAGCCGCGGAACCCTGGGTTTTTTCCGTCCTGGGTGGAGGTCCCGGCCGCTCCTGGGAGAGTTCCTGCGTGATGTAGGTGCGGTAGTGTTTCATGAGACACACCGTTTTAGGACACAGAGGACACAGAGGAGGAGGAGGAGGAGGAGGAGGAGGAGGAGGAGGAGGAGGAGGAGGGAGGGAGGAGATGAGGAGGCGGAGGGAGGAGAAGAGGAGGAAGGAAGGAGGAGGAGGAGGAGGAGGAGGAGGAGGAGGAGGAGGGGGAGGGGAGGAGGAGGAGGAGGAGGAGGAGGGGAGGAGGAGGAGGAGGAGGTAGGCGGACGAGGAGGAGGAGGAGGAGGAGGAGGAGGAGGAGGAAGAGGAGGAGGAGGAGGAGGCGGACGAGGAGGAGGAG